CTGGGGCTCTCTCCTATTTGTCTTTGGTACTTGTTTTCTCAGGTTTTCCTTCCTTGCCTACCACCACACCAATATCTCAGAGATGACACAAGTTATCATTTGAGTGGGCATCTCATCCCTTTACACTGCTTGGCCCTCTGGCCACAAAAGTTCTCTTGGGGCTTTGGCCCCCTTTCTCTAGCTCAGTGGTCCTCAACCTTTTTTGTACCAGGACCCATTTGTAAACATCAGCAGCCAGTCCTGACCTAGTGCCCCTGACTCCCAACCTGCTGCTCCCCACCCTAGGCTGCAGTCCCAGTCAGTCCCTCACAGGCTGGAACTCTGCCAGCCTGCAAGGGAAAAGCCAGTTTTTCTCCTTTAAAAATGGATTTTCCTTTAAAGTTTATTTGCAACCCTTTTGATATATTCTTGTGACCCACAGGTTGAAAAACGCTGCTTTAGCTGGGTCCCCTAACCCAAAGTCTGCAGTTCTTGACCCTGGCATCTGGGCCCCAGCCCTGGTCTCACCCTTCCAGGCTCTGGCTAGCCTGCTCAGCTTTAGGCCTCAGCTACTTCCCTTCTTTGTCCTCTTTCTGGTTTGGGCTACTGGCCCTCTGTCTCATACTCCTGCCCTGGCAGGGCTCGCTACTATGCCTTCCTGGCATCCTGTGGCCTCTTCCTCCTCCTCACTCCTTATAGCCACACCTCATTTATTAGTATAAACAGGAACATAAAAGGAACAAGCTAAAATTTTAACAAAAGCCCACCCTGCTCAGGGCAAACAAATACGGAGGGAAAAAAAAAAAGCCTCCCCATTACTGTAACAAAACTCTCTCATTCTCAGGGTAAAATAAACACACACCCACTCAGCCCTTATCTTCCTGGGGCTCTCTGCCTGCTCCATTTCAGGTGTTCAATGCTGGTTGGGGTCTGCCAAGTACCTCCTGGTATACTAGCTCCCTTTCATATCCCTTTGACCCTCAGAGAGCTGAGGTTTTTAAACACCTGGGAGAGGTCTCTTCTAATCAGCTGACCCTCCCTCTTTGGCATAGCTGCATCTCATTAATTCTCCCTTACAGCTTGTGCTGTTTCCTGGCCCCTGCTAGGCTTTGCCACAAGTAATCTCCCCTTTAGTAACAGGATCCTTTGATTTTCTGTTACACTACCTCTTTTCAAACCTCCTTTCAAACAATTTTTTTCCTTCTCCATCTATGCTTTTTGAATGGAATGGTTTAATTTAATCATCTAATATCTGTGTACCACTGTTCTCTGCATGACAAACTATGCTGTGCACTCTCCTGTTTTGTCCTGGCAACTGCCTCCACATTTTACAGGCCCGGGGGTCTCCCATTGAAAAGTGGTTGCAGGACTGAAACCTAATTTTGCAAAGTGCTTTAGGAATGCAGTTTATGTGGAACACTATATGTAAATTGCAGATTTGACCCAATAGTTCTTCCTTAACAGAAATAATCCTCATTCCCATGAGCATGCTGACTGATTTACATGGGACTACTGATATGAGTAAAGGCTTACAGTATCAGGCCCTGGAACTGTATGCTATATAATCATCTGTTTGCTGCTGTTGCTGTTTTCTCCCTTGGATGACTTTAATACAGCTCTAGACTTGGATATTCTCAGTACTGAATAACATATTCTAAATATAGTAAAGCTACAGTCATCTTACTCCGCAGTTTTGTATCTATAACCTAGATTCTAGGGGTTTTTTTGGACTCCCATTTTCAGCAGACATTGTGAGAACCAAATGTCTGATGGTATCCTGCTTCACCAGCCTGAAGATTCATCCATGCGCATACTTACACAACTGCAGTATTCACAATGATTAATGTTTCCCCTTCAGTTCTAGTATTTTGTAACAATACATGATGGCTTCCTGGTCAGTTTCATAGTTTCATAGATTTAGGGTCGGAAGGGAC